TGTTTTACATCAGTTTTACATCATTTTATTATTATATTAATTTTCATTATTAGGTTGAGTTATATAAATATATATAGATTGATATAACTCAATCAATATTAATATATGTAATTTAAAAAATATATAAAATATAAGAACCTTACCTTCTTGCAATTGAAGTGATGTCTAAATATTAAGTATTCATCGCGCGCGCATATCAAATCTCAATAAATTCTATATTCTCTTCTCATCGATTTAATTCGTCTATAATGGTATACATCGCCTTGTTAATCTAGGTCGTTTATTGATGATGCTCTTTCGGCATCGACGCCTCCGTGCCTTGTAGCATGTTATTTTATCAATAATGGCTCATGATTTTTACCGATTCTATCAATGTATAATAGTTAGTACCGATATTGTCGCTTTCCATTGATGGTTAAATAGTGGAAGTTGCATTTTCTTAGATCATGACTCTGCAAACAAACTACCGTTTTTTGTTGTTATTTTAATGTAATAAATAGCGATAAATAACATCAGTTTGTTAGGGATCGCATGAACATTTTCACATTAATATGTTCATAAATAAATGACAATTATAAAATTAGAAAAAACGCTACTTTTTATTTTCACTTTAAAAAAGCATTAAAAATCGTCGAGGAAAATAAGAATTCTTAGGCATATCAATATTTGTTGAAAACCCAAATATTAAGACAATAAAAGACCATGTACACATGTTTCAAAATACACATGAATCCTAAGTAAAAAATTGTTCGAGATTAATGACTTGTGAGATACAGTTTCAAGACTTTTTATGCAATTCTTTTGTTTTTATTGATTTATCAAAGTATTTCTTTTAATTCACTATTTTAGTATTCTTGCAAGTTAAATCTGAATAAATATGGAGTTTTTAATAATCTAATATAAAAATAGTCCCGAATAATATCAAAAACAGATAATATAAAAGATTCGATTAAATAAGGCTAATCAGTTGAAATCCAGTACAATTTTGAAAAAGGTAAAGACTCGTTATACTGATTCATTGATTACATGATGTGATGCAATCGGAGACTTCAAATATACGAGCCTCACGTGATTTCTCCTTCGCTTTTTCGAATGACTGATGCAAATCGGATAGTATATTATGATATATATGTACTAAAACTTCTTTTCAAAACTGTTTTACATCAACAAATTTTCATTGTATTTGACTGATATGCCACTTTGACTGATATGCCATTTTGCCTGATATGCCATTTTACCTGATATGCCATTTTGACTGATCTGTCACTTTGATTATTTGATAATTAATTGAATGTAGAAACAAATATCATTGTCTTGTAATATCGTACAATTATTATAATTAATTTATTAGATTACGCAACGTCAAGTGCGCGTATTGTATACAATTAACTCTATCATAATAATTAAAATCTCCCCGGAATTTTTTTTAACTAACCGCATCCGGACGAAAATTAGACTAGATTCCTCGAAAATATTTGTCAGTCGGAATCCTATCTTGTCCCGAGGATTTGATCTTCGTTCTGAGAAAATCCTTTTGGAAGACGACCGATTTGTCATAGGCGTGTATACTTCCAACTTCAATAATACGAAGATATGAATATACGTAAGCGTTCAAGAGCTAGTGAAAGGAGACGTCATCATTGATTTTAAGTGGGAGGTAAAAGAGGATATGAACGCAGTTGGAGTGTATGCGCCATGAGAAAATTCGAAGCGCAAGAGGGGAGCTTGGATCAGGTGAAAATTTATCCATTCTGCAAAAACTACATTTTATCTATCAAATGTAATTTAATTAATGAATTTTGAAAATTAATACGATGATTAATTGACTACATAACGTGAAGAAGAAAAAAATTAAAACTATTTGAAATTCATAAATCATAATTTTAAATGATATTATACAGTTATATTGCAGTTATATAAAATCCTGTTTTATTAAATAAGATAAAAAATATAAGTATAATTTATACAAAAAAATATCTTGTGTATCTGTAACAAGTTTCGATTACGATAAGTTTTTTAATCTGACATGCCAAGATCTGGCAACAACATTGTTGTATGGAAAACGTCATAATAATTACCATTAACGTCATCGTCAATACTATCAGAATCATTGTTGTGTCTACGAAAATGTGTATGGACAACTGACGTTGCTATAACGGAGAATCGCGACCTACCATTATTAACATTGTTCATTAATGCCGTGAACTTTTCACAATGATAACGAAGATATTACGTACGAGATTCTCGACCGGGGAATAACGAATGGTGTCACGCCTTCATCGGCAATTAGCGGAATCGCGCGTACGACCACGCTGTTGATGCACACATTCATCTCTACAGGCAGAATGTTCCTATGCTATAATTACCTTTATCGACAGATTCATTTTATCTGTAACAATATAGTTCGGATTTTTATGAAGAACATGAATCAACTACGTACATTTCTACGATATGAAGACTGGAAAAGCATTTACGTGCCAATGAGGATATTTTTCGTATAATTACAATTACCATATAAAAATTGAATATTTTTATTTTAATTCTATTTTTATTTTATCATTATATTGAAAATTGCATATACTGTTAAAATGTAATTTAACAAATATTATACTAAAATATATTTTTGATTATGGAAAGTATTTTCAAGACAAATTATTTATTATATATAAATTATGGAAAATATGGAAATATAAAATATAGATAAGAAAAAATTTCAAGATACTTCAACTACTTATCTAAATTCTTCATATATTTCTCGAAATTGAAATTGCTGAAAAAAATAATTTCATATAATTTATGTCTCTGCTAATTTTAGCCGATCGAATTTAATAGTTTAACAAAAAAATTTAATGTTAATTTAATGTTTATGAAATAGCGCGGGAAAATAGTCGATAAGCATGGCTGATACTCTCATGTGCTAAGAACTCATTCTCTTTCGGTCATTGCTAGCGTACGGACCACGTGGTGATTACGAACGAGCGAGTGGAACGCCAAAGCCTTGCGATTGAGTAACAAGTATTCGTAATTTTGCGAATATTGTTTATTTCATTTAGTTTTATCTTTTGCATTAATTACTTTTTCTTAACAATAATAAGACTTTTTGCAAAAATACAAAGAATAGTTTATCTCAATATTGTTAGTTATCTTTATATAATTATCTTTGAACAAAAAAAATACGTTCGTATTTGACTAGGGTACAATAAAATGAAATGTATTTTTTTTATAAAATCATTAAAAACAGAAATTCCATATTAAACAATTTTTACTGTTATGTACATTCAATAAAATAGAGCAAAGCAAGCAAAAATATAAATATGAAAAAGAATGATAATTTACAAAATTAAAAATATAGTTATTAAAATTAATTAAAAATTAATAAAATTCATCTCTTCTCACCCGATGTTAAATCAATTTTTGCAAATATTAATTACCAAGTACACTAAATCTCAGTATCCGTTCGATGCTTAAGATCGTCATCACCAGAAAGGTTCGAGAGATAAAACTACAATGTGCGGCAGATCGACAGTGAGTCGACGTTAACATCGTCTACTACGCACATATAGTGGGGACAGAAAGAGTGGATACCAAGGTGGTCGCGGGGAGTTATGAATGAGTTGGTCGCGAGTCCTGAACCACGGATCTTAATGGTGGGGGGTAAAAGCCGCGCAGCGTGCAGGAGAAGGGATGACGAAGGAGGTGGCGCGGGTGATCGAGGGAGGGCGAAAATGGTGGGAGGATTGGCCGAAAGCGGGGTGTGGGCCACGTGCTACGGTGACTTTACAATCGTATATAGGCACCGGTCGACGGAGTGGCCAGTACCATACACTGACAGTCATACACCGGGGGCGCACGAGGTGATAGAAAGAGTGAAAGAACTGAGTTCGAACAGGAAGGAAGAGGGAGAAAGGAAGAAAGAAAGAGAAAAAGAAGAAGGAAAAGGAATAAAAGAAAATACAATAGATAAAGACTGCGAGAAGCGATCTACGTACGTCTAAGGCAAACGGATAAATCATCACTACCGTCTCCCCTTAGACAAGTTCACTTCTATTATAACGAACAATTTGCTTCGCCCGCCTTCTTGTCCTGTCTATTCGTTGGATTGATCGCGTCCTCTCTTACTTCGTACCTTGGATATGACAAATTAATTAGTGACCAACATCTTTTGAAAGCAAACTTTTTCAATTAGAAAGTGAAATATAGCCCTGTGAAGGGCTTCGGAATCGATACAGGAAGGAAACAGACAATCGACAGCAAGGAAGTAATTGTGAAGGACAACCAAAAAAGAAGAATCTTAAAAAGTAAAAGAAAACGTACAAGGACTACCCTTAACAGTATATCCCTTTGATTCTTTTTCTTCTTCTTGAGTATCCCCGCCACCTTATCAAGCACCCACCCCCCTCCTCCCTCTTTCTCTCTCTCAGGATCCCATAACCCCTCTGCCCCCTCATATAAGAATCAGTGCATCGCGTGTGCTGGGACCAGTGCCAAACGGATTGTGAATCTGTGCAGACTGTTTTTCGATTGTGACAACTCTTCAGGTGATCATCGGTGGCGTATCGTGCGACTGAACGCTGGAGCACACACGCACCGTCCGCGGTATCCATCCATGTCTATATACACATGTAGATGTATATAACGCACGTGTATCTATTACTTACATACATACGTACTAATCGCTGACGCGAGGAGATCCGCGAAGGATACACCGGCATTATTCCTGCCTTGAGACTGTGCGTTCGCGAGTGTTCGCGTAATAGATAGTGTTATGCGATCACAATGATTGTGAAGAACGCGATAGAAAATCAATTGATGCCAATGGAGATCATACTCACCCGCGATCAGAGGACTACGTCCCACCGGGTTCATGACCAGGCGAATCCTGTTATGCGAGTCAACGCGCTGATATCAAAGTCGGCGATTTCATCTTTGGAACAAACCAAATATCAGGAGATCGTCGCGAGACGTCATTGCATTAGAGCGATAACCGCGAAAACGCTTAAACGAGAGAAAAAGAGTGATTTGCACCTCATGCCAACATTTTATCATGACCGAAGAACACAACATTCTAATGCATCCTTCAGCGTACTCAGATTTCTAAGTAAGTCAAAGTTACCATCACGTATACACATACATATACAATTGTAGTTTGTGATGACAAGTACTAGATACTAGCAACGTAAACATACGAATAAACGTCAATATTGTAAATATTAAAAAATCGTTCATTACAATTAAATAGAAGATAAATTGAAATTTTTAACCCGGAAATTATCAATTAATTGCAAATTGTATATAGTAAATTACTTCTTTTTTAATGTAATATAAAATGAGTTGTAGCAACATTGAGTGTCACATGAAAGAAATCTTTATTGTATTCTGATACAGTATATGCTACGTCGATTGATTCGAGGTCGTGAATGCAGCAAAATGCATTACGTAATTTTAATAATATTTCGGTTGTTGCATTGTACTGTTCTATCTTTGCAGCGTGGTCGTTGTCAATATAAAAGTTGCATCCTCTTTCCGGTTGCAAGGCTTTCTCCGAATTGATTTAGAAATCATATCAGGATTTGCTACATTTGCATCAAACCAGTTGTTTATATCCCTCACTCCTTATTAACCTTTCGCAACATCGACAAGGAAATATATAGATTGACTTTGCGAGTATATCTATCGAATATAAATGTTGTACCTCTAGGATTCAGTCAAATTTTCTATGAACTTCCGTACGTTAGTCACAATTCGAAATGAGAAATACCAATTCGTATGTAAAAGTAGAACTAACATCGATAAACTTGAGTATGACTCGTAAATTTGCACTCGAAGCGGATTATGACCTGATGGTAAAACCCGCGTGTGTCTCGAAACCTTAATCATTGAACGGTGCTCGTCTCGTGATAAGTACAATTAGAATACACAAGTCTAAGTATACTTATCGATCTACAAGTATACGTAGTTTTATTTTCTTCAAGTGTTAATGAAAATTTTGAATTTTTCATAAAAATTTTCATGAAAATTATAAGTTTAGCAATTTTCTTGTGCAATTATTTGCGTTTTAAAAAAATATTTATTCACTATTTTTTAATAATATTAAAATTTATTGCACAATACCTGTTATAAATAATATTTCTACTTATAAATATCATTGTACAAAGAATATATTCACAAAAATTAGATTAAATTATTTTAAAAAAATTAATTTTAAGTAATGTTTTAATATGAATTTTTTTTAGAAATATATAATAACAAAATATTTCCTTTTGACACGTTGATAAGGTAAAAAATGTAATAAGCGTGACATTACGCTTTTTTTTATTTAGTTCACTGTCGCTCATGTCATTCTCTTTTGCGACTTTGACGTCATTTTCGAGCATGCCGATGAAGTATTAGTCATCCGCCTTGTAACGGTCCTCCTTATCGATTCTTCGTTTACAAGTTTGCGAATCTTAAGTCTATACGCGTTTTCGTTTACTGTCTTATCAGTTTTCTTCTAAATTCTCGTAAAATTGAGAAGAGTGTATAATAGGAGATTGGCTTTCCTAGAATGAATTCAAAACACGGCACGTGCCAGGACGTGCGGTATATTTGCCTCCGTCCGCCCACCTGTTGAACAGCGAGGGTCCTACAGGTGGTTTAAATCCTTAAGTTCTACGAACTGTGAAAAGATGAACTACAGGAATCATCTTTCAGGAATCTCGACTAGATGTGTGTATTTTTATATTTTTAAATGACATAATATATGGCGTTTCGTTGCTTTTATTCTTAAATAAAACGAAACTTCTCAGAACAAATCGGTACATTGATACAACTACATATTTACAATAGTGGGAACTTAATGTATTCACTATATTCTTGTATGACGATAAGAAATTGTGTGTGTATGTGATAGAATAATTTATAAAAAATTGTCGAACATATATGCGCACCGCGGGTTGCGACCTACCGCAACGTGCTTCGATCCGTAGACACGAACGGAAGAAAAGGGAGTAGCGGGTCGGGCGTAATGGGGTATAATTGTCGCAAGCAATGCGAGGACAGTGCGTCATTACCGCATTTTTCACCATCTTTCTTGTTGGCCGACAGCAGAGATGCGCTTTGCACCGGTGTTCACCGGCTTTGCGCGCCATACTTTTTTCAATGCGGCCGCGGTTCTTAGGAATTTCGATGGAACGCCGTCGTTGAGAGTCGTCGTTGAGGTAGGCCCTCGCAATATCAATGTAGACGATATGTAGACGACATTGGGGAAAGTATAAAGAAAGGTAAAATGGCATCAAAGCCCATCATCTGCCGAATGTTTCACAGAGATGAACTTTTCTTACTGATAGTAGTAATTGTGGCAAAGAGAATATACACTTAATATTTAATTTTTCTTTTTAGAAAATTGTGTAGATGAAGGGAATATTGGTTACATAATGGATTGACTAATACATAAAAAAAAAGTAATGTTCACCAGAAATAGTTTGAGAACAATAGTTTTCCGCCATACGGCATATCGACGTATTTCTGCGAAAAACAATTAAAATCCTGACGCGTAGTTCCTGAATTAGGTAAATGCGAGAGTAAGTTTTGTTGAGCGTCAAGATGCAGACTTTTAAATTTCTTTCTGCTTAAGAATAAGAACTCGTTTGAAAGTATACCTGTATCATCGTATCCCTTTCTCCGCTGACAAATTTGACCGATCGTGGAACTCTAATCGCATAGCAATTAAATACCTAAGAAAAAAAAAGAAGACGGAGTAATTAAAGAAATAAGAGAAAGTAAATGATGTCTTCGACAACAAGTAAGGAGATACGTTCGTGAATAGCCAAGATTATTTACGTGGATTACTGCGAACTTTGCAGAGCGATAAAAATACTTGCAATCGAACGACTGTTTCTCGAGATACGGTCTTTTTCGTATATGGCGAAAAATATATTGCAAGTACACGTGTCTCTCCTAACATCATTAGCGAACATTAATTGGACGTTTTCCGCCAGGATTGTTGCCCTTTCGAAATTTCTTCTTCTTTTATTTTCACGCTGAAAATAAAGTGTAAAAATATGCTTTTATTGATTGTTGTATATTACACAACTATTACACTACTTTATGAAAAAAAAAACGGAATCAATATAACATGTTTTTATAATATACATCATTGCAACAATAATATCATATACATATAAAAAAATTCACATGATTTAATTTCCCGTTTATTTCTTATTCCATATATCATACACGAAAAGAATGGTTTTACTAAAATATCTAAAAATTACTAAATATCTAAAAATTTAACTACAGATGTACAGATCTAAAAATAGTTTTGTTGGATCACCAAAATAATTATGTAGAATATTTAAGCGTCGATGACAATTCTGCAAAAGTAGCATTCTACAACCAGATTTGATCTGAAAATAAATTTTCAGATTTGTATCAAACTAAATTTTTCGATATTTCAGCAAAACTATTCTTTTCGTATAGATGGTTGTGTGACTTATCTACATAAATGTAAATTCCAGCATATATTGAACGCTTATCACGTCTTTGCGATTGATTCTGTAAAATAGTAACACATCATAGCATATTCACGTTAAAAATTACGGCAATGTGTTCACCGTTGACCGACACGGTTTTGCGTCGTCACTTTGGGGCGCAAACTTCCCTGCGGCAAATTGCTCTCTCATCGCAACGCAGAACGCACTTAAGAGCCGCTCATTAATATGCGTTAAGTGTTCGAGGCGTCTCTCCCTATGCCCCGTCCCACTCCTCGTTTTCTCTACATCTCGCTCTTTTTCCGTCTGCATTTCTGTCTCCCTTCGTTTGTACGGCGCGTCCGTCGTCTGCATCATGCGTTCATGCACATTAAAATTAAATTCGTTAGCGCCTGTGGATGGTACGACACACCTCCGGTTTTCGGTCGCACGCCTGTTCGTCCCGATGAACTAACGATATAAATCAAAAAGTTGAAGTAAGTTAGTAAAACTTCAACTCTTTGATATTCTAAAACAGTATCGTTACTGATTATAAAATACTATATTATTGATAATTCGACTTGATAAAACACGATAAATATTATCAAATAATGATGATAAAATCAATCAATAAAAGAAAACAATATTTGATTTCGTAATTTTCTTATTAATATAGATAACAGTTGATTTCAGAGAAGAGAAAAAAGTTCCGAAATAATGTATGCATAGGCAACTGATAAAATCTATAATATTGATAAATGTAGTATCGGGTAGAACGCTGTGTATATCTTATGAAACTTGATTTAACTTCAAATCAACATTGCACTTAGCAGTGTCCATTTTACGTCGCTCGATTTTTGAAACCTTCAAAACGGTGATGAAGTAAGGAAGGGGAAGGGGAATATGAATTAAATGCGGACAACACGTATACGGTGGTCTCCCGTCGTTATACATCCTTCAAATGCGTACGCAACTGTCGATGGTTTGTCGTCGTACCGCTGCACGTGATCCGAGGCCCCTCATCAAGGGTCGTAACTCGCGTAATAATGCGACGACGAATTCGCGGGGACGTAATTCGACGTGCGGTGATCTTGAAACTGCCGGATGATCATAAGACGGTCCCGATCGGAATCTACCATTTAGGCGCTTACTATCGACGAGTGAGTCCCCGAGGGTGGAAACAGAGGGCCAATGAGCCGGAAGCTCAATGATAATTTTACGCAGGCATCTCGCGGCTCTCACGTCAAATCGTGATTACCACCAGATCATTGAGCAGTATCTTCGATTTTTCCTTTTTTAAGATTCTGACAATTCCGTTAATGATGCCCCTACACAAGTTAATCTTCATTGCGGAAAGGGTCCAATCCCGTGGCACTCGCTTGCTGCTACGGATCTTCGATGGAACCATATTAATGTAACTGTTTCCGCAATCTTTATAGAACTTATTATTGTATATATGTACTAAAATGGCGACTAATGTTGTTAAAAAATAAAAAATATATGAATCATTCTGATTATTTGATGAAAACACTTATTATGCCATCATTTAACAATAAAAAAAAGAAACAAACATTTTAATATTTAATTAGTTATTGAAGTGGCACTTTTAATAGTATAGAATAAGAACGGATTTCATATTGTGATCGATAATTTAATTATAATGTATATAATATGGATCATTAAAGCAAGAAATCTAAAGTGACTATTTTTGTTTCCAGGGTTAGGCTGTGCGTTAGTGATTATACTAGCGACGCTGTCAGTGCGAAGTGCTCCGATAATGAATTCCCCGAACAAAACGGATGATATGAAATGGGTGAATCCTTGTGGCGTCTCTACCAAATTACGAACAAACGGCTCCAATCCGGACATTGCTCAGTTGGAGGACCATGATCTCCTCAACCAAATAGTACTCCAAGCGAGAACAGCATTAAAGCATGCACAACTATTTAGAGATGAATTTGTAAGTAATATAGAATACATATGTTTCTCTCTTTGTCATACATTGTCGTCTTCATCGAGAGTTTTGACTGCGTATCTTTTCTTCGTGTATATTAATACAATTCATGTTGATACGAAATTGATACGATATTTTATTGAAAAATGAATATCAACTCTTTAATAATTACTTATATGACCTCTTGGAGGAGATCGGGTAGAGTGAGGGAACTTCGAGCGGAAGGAGGTTATGGTAGTATTTCCGGTCATCCAAACGTTCGATCGCAGTTCCATGAGTTACGATTATAGATCTTAGAAGAAGATTCCAATCTTATAAATCCTGTCGCATCTTTATATTAATTGCAAACTTATTAAGAATTTTATTTTTATCTGTTGTAAAAGTGTAATATGTATAATAATGAATATTATAGTTTAAATTTGCAAAATGAAAATGTAAATTTGATTTCAGTTCAGCTCCCTTTTTAAGTTATAAATTTGTATCAAATTTTCTAAATTTACATTAAATTAAAAAATTTTTATTTATATTACATTTTACTTAATAGTTGAATTATTATTTATTCTGAATTATCTATTCAATTATTATCCATTTTAAAGTTGCGATTGAATCTTGAATTCTGGAAATAATCGATTTTATAAGGCAGATAGATACATATGACAGCGAGAAATTTTTGTTTCAAAAGAATCTTCCCAACCAATCGTACCTTATTATCTCTGACCAAGGACAATAAATCACGCACCAGACCCGAGCGGTTTCTCAAGGTTTCTCTTTAGGAGCAATCCAAAAAAGAGATCGACTCGAAAACCGCAGAAGCAGAGATGATGTTTCGCATTCTAAATTTCATTTGTTTTTCAAGAAATATTGTCTGACAGTTTTATGTGTAATCCGCTTAAAATGCACTTGATTTTATTCCTTTCAATTATATATAAGAAAATTTAGATTTTTGATGTAAAAAGATTTAGACTTCTAAAATACCAGATATGAGAAAACGTCATTGATTAATTTCTAAACGATTGCGTTTTCGCCAAATAATGGTACCAAGAAATAAATACTCACGATTGATCGCTGAACATCAGTTAAGACCAGACAAAGACCGTCCTCCACTCTCGTGAACGGTGTTTACCTAGGCGAAGCGAGTATATGACCGAGTAAATTAGCATTCGTCGCGTGCATCGAGAAAGGGTATTTCTGCCTCTTCGCATTATAGGGTCCGTTTCGCCCTAGGGCTCCGGCTAAAGGCGGTTAAAAAGCGTTCCCGTTACATCATCGCGCAGCGATACCGGATACCGATGTTTTTTAAGTCAGCGCATAATCCGATATCATACCGGCCGTAGCTCGCTTCTACCCTTGACAAGAAAGACAATAAATCGCGCACGTGTAAATACCTCGCCACTTGCGACATATAAAAGATGGCATGGAAAAGGAGTGAAGTCATAGTTGAACATGATGACAGGGAAGAATCAAGTTTCTTTCCTCACCGTTCGGCTCACTGTGCTCGCGGCGAGGCCAGTTCCAGGGGCGCCTTCCTCCACTGATATCAACTTGCGGCGACACACTGTCTGATGGTCCAGTGTCTTCACCGTCCGACACTCGTTATCGGTTCAGCGTAGGCCGTCTACCGGCAGGGAGAGAAAGGAGTAGATTAGTCAAGGATACTGAGAACGGCGGAAGTCTCACGGCCGATATATCTTTCGCGTGCGTGGCGCGAACGCGAAGAAAATCATCCGCGGCGAACCTCGCGATCTTTTGCAACTGACAAAACTATTCTTCCAACAAGTTTCCGGGATAATTGGAAATCTTTAGAGTCGTCAACTCGATCTATCTATTAAATCTTTCTACTATTCGTACATTCTTTAAATGTTTTCTCATGACGTACGACAATTCATCATCTTTATACCGTCTGAATAATTTATAAATCAAATTTATTCGTCTGCAATTCGCAATTCGCAAATAGCGATAGATAGTCTATGTTTTCGCGCGTGTGCAGACGCCAGTACGTGAAGGAATCGGATAAAATATCGGAAGCGAAGGATTCCAATAAATCAGAATCGGAAGCTGCCCCCTCTCCATCGTGAATGGGTACCTGTACGCCATACTGGCACACCGCCTGCATACTAAAGCCCAGACCGGATATACAACCTGCCAGTGTATGTACTTGTCTCGATACATACGACACATATCTCCTATCATGGTATACTACTGTATTCTAATGTCCACTCCCGTCGTTCCTTTGCACGATGATATATTTTTCGAACGCGATCGTGATTGTTCAATATATCTTAGAATGAAGTCTACAGACTTATAAAAAAACGAATCGCATAAATATTATTACAAAGATCAAAATTAACATAATATTTTTACATCAGCAGAAATCTAAGAACTTGTTCAATCAATATAGTGCTTGCAATTAGAATTTATCAACAACATTAGAAATTATCGACTCAAGAGATATATTTATGGGACGTGTTGATATCGCGAACTTCGATTGACTTTCAAAGCTATCACACCAAAATTTTATAACTTCTAATAAGCGGTACAGTAGTGATGCCGCGCTAGAAGAAAGACTGAAAGGCTAATTGATTTTGACGGGTCCTCGGCAGCGCCGCGTGGAGACCATACCTATTCTTGCCAGCCTACTTCCTGCCAGCTTCCAGCCCGGTTTTACGATTATTCGTGCTCCAGTGTGGCCGACGAGACTTTTACGAGGCACAAAAGACCCGCGCCACAGATTTGTCCGCCGTCAGTGGTTGTTAGCGACAATTCCTTTCATTCTACCCTTTTTGTCTTGCTTTACCACCTTTCCCGTGTTCGTTCCTTGCTCTTGCAATCTCTCTTCGTATTTATATATCTCGCGGCGAAAATGTATGGAGAATATTCAAGCACTTCAAAACGTGAAACAAAGACCATGGCAATCATTTTGGAACTTCGTGACTTTTACCACCATTTTCCGTATTGCAATAAAACAAAGATTGCTGAAATATCGATTTCTAAACAGATTGAGAGCCACCACATCGTGAATGTAACCAACACATCATAAAACGCGACGACAAAAACGAGTTCTTTTCGGCACCTGAAAGGAGGAAAGGCGGACGCGGGTTCAACTCCATTCGTAGGTAGACGCAGGTCTCGCTAATGTATTTATTAGAGGACTGCTTACACAAAATTACCGTAAAATTCTATTTAATTACCCATCAGATTTCTCATTACGTATACATGATGACGCAATTGATGACCGGTTACCGCGAGTATTTAATATTTTTCGATACAAAGTATGGGTTTAAAAGTTATCTTTGTATCCTCTTGGACGCTTTCGTAACGACCGGGGCGTGAGAAGGGCCGATCACTGATCAGCGCACGAGTGCCCGCAGGTACAAGATCGAACATGCCATAACGAGGGAATGAATTTAATGAATGACTACCGCGATGCCGCCTTTCTATCGGCTACCCTTGCTAACCACGAATTTCCGCCGTTGTCGTGCCTTCGAAATCCATTTGTCGTCACGTATGCTTACTTTCCACTTGGACATGCCCATATTTTCGTTCGTTAACCTGCATGCGAATTTATTCTTATTTTTTTCACGGCGTCACATATGCGTTAGAGAGAAGTCTTCGAGGATATATGATTTATCAAGCTATGCAATATGTGGTTCTTGGCAGCGTGGTTATCAGGAATGTTGTTTGCGATCAAAGGTATTATCGCATTCGTAAGTCATACGAGAGTAGTAAGAGTAATGTCGTACGATGATACACTTTCATTCCTACTTGAGATAATAGTGTTACAATGCGTTATCTACACTGGAATCCAAGATATAAGATCAATGAGATCAAATCATTTTTCCGCACGTAGGATAACATGTGCAGAATTCTGGATAATATGAATCAATGCAAAAAGGTTAACACGGGAATTCTTTTGTGAAACGGTTATTTGAGTCTTCAAACCATATCGCAATTGTTCGTCATAATAAGAGGCCAATGACTTATACTACAGTCTCGAAGGCTTATGGAACTGAAATATCAGTGTATCATGAAACATAAATACAAGATAATACTAAAAATTATATAATTATTATACAATATATAATCCTAATTTTATAGAATAACAGTAGGGTTTATTAGAATCTGATGTCAAGTGCAATGAAACAATTTTCTACATCAAATTATGATACGAAAATGAAATGCGAAAAGCGTAACTTCTAATATGTTATGCAAGCTTAGCATTTTTCCCTCGCTCTCTATTTCTCGCACTTCCCGGCTCAACGGATGATTCATAATGACTCGTCCGATGTAAGCGATCCCTGATGAGACAATTAGTGTGTCTCGGCTGGCGCCCGAGTTTCCAAGTAATTTCTGGGTAAAGGACTAAGCTGGCTTTTGTTAGCTGACCCATCTCGGTATTCCCGAAAAGTCAGCGTGCCATGGCTGCTTGTGGCACGCGCTCTCCCGCATAGAGAGTCGGCACGAACTGTCGTGCGTTACTCACGCGGCAGTTCGCACGGCCGACTGCGTTTTCATCGTACTAGGAACGAGGGATATCGGGAGACTGATCGTATACGAGGTGTTGCACGGCGTATAATCGGTGACTAAACTCGCTGACATCCAGTGGCGTCGCTTCGCTGCACTATTACGAGAAATTAACACGAGTCGGTACTTGCGCTGGCACAATTGGCGGATACCTGGAAATACAATAAGAGCAACGCGGTTCGTCCGCGTGCACTAGTCCGTGATCCTTTCGCGAAGTGACAATATAAAGTGACAGTGAAATACATTGCTGTCAAGATAAAAGCGTCAAACGGCTGTGTACGCATTGCGAACTAAATTGAATTAATATTTTTTTAAAAATATTTTTCAACAAAAAGTGTATATAATATTGTATCAAAACATGGTTACAAAAAACACTAAATAAATTAATTAAAATTTGTTATTTATTATTCATTATCGTGTATTAAATAAGCATGATTATACTCTTTTAGAATAGACAGCGACATGCTTTTGCACATGCATGTCACG